CTTGTTTTGGCTGATGATATTGAGCTTTTCCACCGTCCTTTCCCACAGGTGCAGTCAATTTGATTTCTGTATATTCCATCTGGTGAGGCCCATGTGTAGAGTCATCTTTTTTGTGGTTTTAAAAAGGTATTTAAAATGAGTAAGTCCTTGATCTCGAAAAATTGTATCCTGTAATCTCTAGCATCATTTCTATCACCCAGGCCATATTCTACAACTGCTGATCATTCCAATTTGCTTCTAACCTTCCCATTCCAATTACCAGTAATTATCAATGCATTCTGATCGCATGTTTGATCAATTTCAGACTGAGTAATTTTTTTGTTATTGTTTTGTTGATTCCAACTCAGAGTGACTCTGTATAGGGTTTCCAAGGAGCAGCTGGTCAGTTTGAACAACCAACCTTATATTTTGCAGTCCAGTGCTTATCTTACAGTGCCAGACCAGGAGTTGTGATAGAATTCTTCAATTTCATCATTGCTGGCTTTACTGATTGGTGGGTAAATTTGAATACTTGTGGTATTAGCTGGTCTTCCTTGTAGTTGTATAGATATTATCCTTCAAGATAGATCTTGAAATGTCCTTTTTTAATGATGAATGTGATGCCATTCCTCTTGAATTTGTCATTCCTGGCACAGTAAACAATATGACCGCCAGATTCAAATTGGACAATACGAGTTCATTTCAGCTCACTGATGCCTGGGATAGTGATCTTAATGCACTCCATTTCATTTTTGACTGATTTCAAATTTCCTAGAGCCATAATTTGTACATTCCATGTCCCGATTATTAATGGATGTTTCTCCTCATTTTGAGTTGTGCTCCATCAGCAAATGAAGGTCTCAGAAGTTTGACTCCATTTGCATCATCACTGTCAACTCTAATTTGAGAAGGCAGCTCTTCCCCAATCGTATTTTGATGGTCTTCCAACCTGAAGGGCACATATTCTGTCACTATATCTCACAATGACCTGCTGCAATTCATAAAGTTTTCAATGGCTAAATGTTCAGAAATAGTCTGCCTCTTTTTCTTCCTAGTCTGTCTTAGTCTGGAAACTTGTTGACACCTGTCCACCATGGGTGACTCTGATGGTATTTAAAATGTCAGTGGCATAGCTTCCAGCACCATAGCAACATGCAAACTACCATGGTGGACAAACTGACGGACGAGTGGTGGTGGTAGATTGTAGGGATATAAAACTGTTGGGTGAATAATTGAATGGATGATTTATAAATATCAAGAGAATTTAAAATCAACACTAATAATTTTAAGTAATTATGTGTAGGGAAAAGAGCAAGCCACACAAAACATATAATTTAAACATCCAATAAGTGGTATGTTAACATAACTGGAAAGTTTACTGAATAATAGATGAACTTCATGAAGCAACAAAATACATATGGAAAAACTTCTAATAAATCTTTACTTTCCAATTGCTTGAAACACATGGCTCTGTTTACACATTTATATTCATTATCTCCCTTTAAAGTATGTAAATGAATGGATGTTGAAAAGAAATCAATATTAAAATTCCTACCAATCCCTCCATTTTCCTCAAAAGCCAAAATTATTAAAAACTAAACTTGAAAAGTTAATTCAGTAATGACAGTCAGTTTGTTTTGAAACTCTTAAGATGAGATTGAATTTATCCATAGATTCTAGATAATAGTTTCAGAATACATCATTAGTACCACTGTTTATGGGCATGAAATCAACCAGATGCACATGGCAACATACATATGCCTTGTGTTCAAAGAAAGGATGAGGAGAACTGGCTCTTCCAAGTAATTCAGGCCAGTAAGTTTATATTTGAGTTTGTGAACTCTTTTTCTAAAAAGTAGTAACGCCTTGTGTAGCCCTAGTGTGGCACTGCAGGGTAATGTGTTGGACCACAAGGTCAGTTTGAGCCACAAGGTCAGCAGTTCAAACTCACAGCTGCTCCTTGGAAACCCTACACAGGGTCGCTATGAGTCGACGACACTTAACAACAATAACAATGCCTTGGAAGCCTTAAGGAAAAAAGGACTACCTATTATTCTAGCCATGATATTTTCACTATGCATGTGAAACTTGGACACTGAATATGGACAACTCTAGAAGAAATGATGCATTTGAGTTTAAGTGATGGAGACAAATATTGAAAGTACCATGGACTGCTAGAAGAACTAACATATCTGTGTTGGAAGAAGTACAGCCAGAATGGGCGTTAGAAGTATGGCAAAACTTCATCGCTTATACTGCAGACATGTTCTCAGGAGGATCAGTCCCTAGAGAAGGACATCATGATTGGTAAAGTGGCAGGTCAGCAAAAAAGAGAACCCCCCCAATGAGATGAACTGACACAGTGGCAGCAGCAACGGGCTCAAGAGTAACAACAGTTGTGAGGATGATGTAGAACCAGGTAGTGTTTCGTTCCATTGTGCACAGGATCACTATGAGTCGGAACTGATTCTACAGAATCAAATGACAGCATCTAGTCCAGTTGGCCAAGTTATTTAAGTGGCTTAAGCTTTAATTCTCTCATTTGTAAAATGGTTATAATAATAATGCCTCCACAGATTATTAAGACTATTGAATAATTTCATAAATTCACACAGTAGGGCAAAAAATACTTCTTTAAAGAACTTGTCTAGAATGTAATGCTAATACTAACTACTTGTTAGTTAACAAAGATTAAAGATAAAGGTTTTAAAAAGTGTAAAGAAAACTTGGATCTGATAAAAATGCAATAGAAGAAATAATTTCACAATGTCTAATTATTTCAATTCTGAAAAGAACTTGCAGTATACTATAGATTTGTAAGGGAGAAAGCATAATAAATTCAAATAGGGACATCTTCATAGAAATTATAAATCATAAAATTAACTTAGGGTTAATAAAGGTTGATAAGGCAAGCCAACCAACCAACCAATCAAAAACCTACTTAGAACCCAAACTTCTCTGATAAGTCACTGAAAACAAGGTCTCATGTACTAATTTATCTAAGAAAAAGTAATTTTATCACTGAGAACTAAAAATCATTTACATACTTTCTCATTAGGAAAACATGGAATGTAGGTTAAATAGTGTCCCCCTAAACCTCATGTCCACCTGGAGTCACAGAATATGACCTTATTTGGAAATAGGGTCTTTGTGATTGTCATCAGTTAATGATTACGAGGTAATCATAATGGATCAGGGTGGGTCCTAAATCCAATGACTGATGTTCTTTTAAAAAGAGAAGACATAGAGGCACACTGCAAAGTCCAGGTGAAGACAAAGGCCTAGAGGCTGATGCAATGCAGTCATAAGACAAGGAAGGCCAAGAACTGCCAGGAGCAAGTAGAAGGTAAGTCGAGGCAAGGTACTCCTCCTTAGAACCTTCAAAGGGAGCTCGGCCCTGCTTACACCTCAATTTCAAATTTCTGGCCTCCTGACCTCATTGTTGTCGTCAAGTACCATAGAGTAAGTTCCGACCCATAATGACCCTGTATCCGGCCAGGAATCAGGCACCTGATCTAGGACAGAATATATTACTGGTATTTTAAGCCACCCAATTTATCATACATACTTTGCTAAGGCAACCCTGAAAACTACTACAGAATGTAAATAAATGCACATAATATAACAATAAAAGTTAACATCCACTGAGCATTTATTAGGATGCCTGGTGGTGCCACGGTTACAGTGCTCAGTTGCTAAATGAAAGGAGAGGAGTTCAAACCCATCAGTCACTTCGTGGGAAAAAGATGTAACAAACTGCTTTTTAAAGATTTTCAGCCTTAGAAACCACACAGGGCTATTCTATTCTGTCCTACAGGGTCGACATGAGTGGATTCAACTCCACTAATAGGGCCTTTTTATGGTTTGGGAGCATTTGTGACATGATTCATACACGTACTGTACTCAATTTAATTGCACTCACAGCTAGCTGTTCTATGCAGCAGATGGTATCAGTCACATATTGTAGATGAGGAAGCTGAGACAAAATGAAGGTAAGTGATTTCCCCAGGCAATTTGGCCCCAGCATCCACATTGTCTCCCACATGGCAATCTGGGAAATTTATATTAAAAATTATTTTAAGGTATTAAAAACTTTAAAATTAAGGAATCAGATACATTCCAGCAAGACACTGAGTGCTCTGGTAGCATGCTGGTTACGAGTTGGGCTGCCACCCTCAAGGTCAGCAGTTCGAAACTACCAGCTGTTCTGCAGGAGAAAGCTGTGGCTTTCAGCTTGTAAAGATTTACAGCCTGGGAAACTTTATAAAGGGTCACTATGAGTTAGAACCGACTCCATGGCACATAACCACCACCACCACCGTTCAAGTGGGGGGTCCTGGTGTGGTGCTGTGAGTTAATGCATGGGATTGCAAGGTTGGTTTAAACCACAAAGTCAGTGGTTCAATCTCACCATCTGCTTTTCAGAAAGCCTACACAGGGTTGCTCTGAGTCAGAATCAACTCATTGGCACTTAACAACAACATTCAAGTGGGGGTTGGGCTCCTTCCCTATTAAATGTGACCCTCTCGCTAGAAAAGAAGGTGGTTGTTATTGTTGTCAAGTGCCATCGAGTCAGTTCCAACGCATAGCAACCCTGCATAGTGTTTGAACTGCTGAACTTGTGGTTGAAATCGACCTTGTGGTCCAGTGCTGAATCCCACAGTGCCACACTAGGACTCCAGAAAAGGCAGAGACGAGAAAACAAGAGAAATAAAAAACTCTAAGGAAGAAAGAGACAACAGCGAGCACCGGCACAAAGAAGTGGGCAAGTTGATCATAAACGAAGTGAGAATGGGGAGCAGCAATGAGATTGTATATACAAAGTTAACAGAAAGGTCATCAAACAAAAGGCTCCAAAAAGAACAGGAGAATTTGCTCTGGAGATATTCAAACATAACCTTTAAGTAAGCACCTTTGACATCATATATTTAGTACATACTCCATTTTGGCTCCTTTCCCAACCCTCTTAACTATAGAAGAATCACTTCATGATAAAGAGAAAACAAGTCTGAATTTCATACCTGATATGGCATCTGGATCTTCCCCATGTACAAGTTTCTTAAGCTTCATACTAACCAGGTCCAATAAGGTAACAGGCGTCTACAAAAAGTATTTTCAAATATTTAACATGACTTTTTTTTTTCTATTCAGACATCTAACATAGAAAAATCTCAATATGTTTGGCCAATGGGTACTGGAAGGGGATTTCAGACAGAGAAGACAGACCTGTGAATTACAAAGGGCTTGGCAGTAGATGACCTTGAATTATAAAGGGTGTGAATATATGAAATTTTTTTTTTTTTAGAATTCTTCAAATTTCTATTTTCTATTTTCATGTGCCTGTGGCGCTGTGGGTAAATGTGCCAGACTGCAAAGCCATTTGAACTTCAAGGCCAGCGGTTCAAGCTTACCAGCTGTTCCTCGAAAACCCTATATAGGGTCGCGATGGGTTGGAACCGACTTGACGGCACTTAACAACAACAACACTATATCTGAAACTGGGTTAGCCTATCATTAAGGAAATGTTCCCCTATAATAATACAAATTTATTTGTACTTGTATATTATCACTGGAGTCCTGGTGAGGTGCTGTGGGTTAATGCGCTGGATTGCAAGGCCAGTTTGAACCACAAGGTCGGTCGGTTCAAGCTCACCAGCCGCTCCTTGTAAACCCAATACAGGGTCACTATGAGTCGGAACTGACTAGACTGCACTTAACGACAACAACATTCTGAGTGGTTAAACTACCTCACATTGTAATTACCTGGTTCATACATAATTATCTGCTGCGGTCTAGTCAATTCCAACTCATAGCGATATGTAGGAAGAAGAGAACTGCTCCAGTGGGTTTCCAAGGTTGTAAACTTCACAGCGAATCATTAAGGAAATGTTCTCTTACAATAATACAAGAATACTTATACTTCTCTATTATCACTGGAGTCCTCGTGTGGTGTTGTGGGTTAATGAGCCGGACTGCAAAATTGGTTTGAACCAGGTACATGGTTCAAGCTCACCAGCTGCCCCTCAGAAACCCTGTACAGGGTATCCATGGGTCAGAACAAACTCAATGGCACTTAACAACAACAACAAAACTTTATAGGGAGTCCTGGCATGGTGCTGTAGGATAAGCACTGGATCAAATGGTCGATCTTGAACCACAAGGTGGCAGTTCAAACTCACCAGCCGCTCCTCGCAAACCCTAGTAGGGTCGCTATTAATGGGAACTTACTAGACTGCACTTAACAACAACAACAATCTTTACAGAGGAAGCATGGTGGCTCTGTGCAGGGTAAACATCGGAATGGGAACCACAAGGTCAGTGGTGTGAGGCCACCAGGTCAGCAGTTTGAATCCAGCAACTGCTCCATGGGAGCTTCAGCAAAGATTTACAGCCTCAGTAACCCTAGACAGGGTCACTGTGAGTGAGAACCCATTTGACAACACTTAACAACAACAAGAAATCTTTACAGAAGCAGACTGCCCCATCTATCCCCTGAGGAGTGTCTGGTGATTGTAACCTCCTGGGTAGTAGCTGAACGCTTAGCCACTGTGCTGCCAAGACTCCTTCCACAGTGGCTCTCTACACTGTAGCTCTAAGATGCCTTAAAACTTTATTTTCTTAAAATAGGTAGATAATCCTTTTCTGATTTTGGCTGTTCCCCAGACTACAACATGTACCTGGAGAAATAATCTCACAGCTAATGACAGAGGCTGCTCTCTGGGCCAACCAATCCTGAAACCCCCTCACGAATTCACTGGGTCTGTCAGTAAGAATCTAGTGAGTGATTGCTATATGCCAGGCACTGTTCTAGGTGATGAACAAACAGATCAATTTCCTGAACGCATGGGATTTACATTTTTGCAGGCGAGAAAGATAGTAATTTTTAAAAATCATAAACATTTTATTTTAGCAAATTTAGAAGAGCAGAGCAGGGTAAGGGACCAGAGTGAAGAAGGTAGGCATGTATCTGAGACAGTTTGGGAGGGTTTCTTTCTGAGATGGTGACATTTCTGAACAGAAACGATCCCTAGGAAAATTTAGGAGAAAAATGTTTTAGATGGACTGCAGCCAGTCCTGTAATAGGACCAAGGTTGGCATGCTCACAGCTCTTATCATAAAAACCCCTCATCTCAGCTTCCCTGAAACACACTTCATACCCTAATCTCAAGGGATGGTCATCAGAGCCTTCTCCCTGTTTCCCGAATACCACAAGTTTACTCCAACAGCCCATGCCAACTTCCTTTTCTTCTGTTGTTTTATGATTGCTGATTTTGACATGAGGAAAAGGTTGTTGTTGTTGTTAAGTGCCATCAAGTCGATTCCGACCCATAGCGACCCTGTACAGGGTTTCCGAGGGTTTAAATCTTTACGGGAGTAGAAAGCCTCATCTTTCTCCCGCAGAGCGGCTGGTAGTTTCAAACCACTGACCTTAAGGTTCGCAGCCCGATTTGTAGCCACTACGCTACCAGAGCTCCAGAGGAAAAGGTAGAGAAGTAAAAAATAGTTCTTTCTAACTTCTGGGCCATATGTAGGGAAGAGGCAACATCATTCGCCCAGAAACAGGGCTGAATATTGAGGAAGAGGAGGAGCGGGGAGGAAGTGTTTTCTCCAAGTTCTTAGCTGGAGTCTGGGATGTATGTAAGTATGCAAGTATTTCATTTTAATCACTGCAGAATTAAACGTTTTTACAGCCTGAGCTCTAATCTCCGTTCATTATATTTTGAATGAAAAACCAGGTGCAGAGAACCTAGCAACTGACGAACAAATAAGCTTTTAGAGTGTGCTTCATTCAAAATTCATAAATGGGGAAGTGCCTCTATTGTATACACTTAGTACCCACTCCCTTGGTTTTTATCTTAATAATGGAATAGAAACTTCAGTTAAGGGTAAGACTGGTACAAATTTAGAATTAACGTTTCTTTATGACATGAGAAAAAATGTTAAGCAAAAAAAAAAAAAAAAATGGAGATGGAGCAGCTGGGGACTTTAGACACAGAGAAGGAGAGGGGCTGTGTGCTGATGACCAGGGGGCAGGCTTGTAGTGTATACCCTTTGGTTGGGTGATGATGCATGGAAGGGATTGTAACCATGGCAAGGAAACAATATATGATAGGATGAATGTAAAACTAATGTTCTCCTATGTAAACTATCACATAATTCAAAATAAAACATTAGAAAAAAGAGGAGGAAGAAGAATAGAGGAACCGTTATTTTCAGGCTTTTAGAGAAGTAACTCAGCTAAAAGTAGTCATACTTCTATCTGTTACTAAAATATAGTGGCTGTGTGTACCAAGTCAGTTCTGACTCCTAGACCCTGAATAGAGTTTCTGAGGCTATAAATATTTAGGGTAGAAGAAAGCCTCATCTTTCTCCTCTGTAGTGTTGGTGGATTCGAAACATTACAACCACCAGAGCTCCTTAAAATATTGTTGTTAAGTGTCGTTGAGTCAGTTCCAAACTATAGCAACACTGTACAGGATTTCCAAGGAGCACCTACTGGGTTTGAACTGCTGACCTTGTGGTTAACAGTCCAGTTCTTATCCTACAGTACAACATAAGGCTGAAAATGATCTTTCTCTAAGATGCTTTGAAACACTGTATGTCAAGAATCTGACTTTGTCCTACTAACTCTACTACTCCCTTTCTGTTCCAAGTCACCTTTTTCTGTTGTCTGGATTATCCCTATAGCCTCAAAAAAGGTGTCCCTGCTTCCACCCTTGCCCCACTACAATCTATCCTCAGCACAAAGATCAGTTATCTATGTCAAATGTGTCACAGTTTTGCTCAAACTCTACAGTTATTCCCCATTTGATTCAGAGAAGCAGAGTCCTTCCAATGGACTAGAGGCCCTGGCTGTGAGTTGCACCCCTGCCTCCCCACAGAGTCTCACACTTCTCCCCTCCTGGTTCATTTTCTTCACTGCTTCCCTGCTGTTCCTCAATGCCTAGTTCCAGAGCCCTGTGGTGGTGAGTCATTCATACTGACTATAACCACTCCTTCTCTTCCTACCTCATTTTTCAATTCTCTCCCACCCTTAGGAGTTCAGGTGTGGCACTGCAGATTAATGTGCTAGACTGCAAAGTCAGTTTGAACCAAAAGGCCGGCAATTCAAGCTCACCAGCTGCTCCTCGGAAACCCTACATAGGGTCGTTATGGGTTGGAACTGACTTGACATAACTGCACTTCACAAAAACTCACCCTTATAGTCTTTCTCAGATCTCACTTTACTAGTGAGCCCAGCTTGATCACTCCCACCCCTTTGTTATTATTTTTAAGTACCATCAAGTTGGTTTTGACTCATAGCAACCCTGTAGGGTTTCTGAGGAGCGGCTGTTAAGTTTAAACTGCTGACCTTGTAGTTCAAACCAACCTTGCAGCCCAGTGCTTATCCTACAGCACCACACCAGGACTCCTACTACCATTCTTGTTGTTAAGTACTGGCTCATAATGACACCCTGGTACAGGGTTTCCGAGGAGTGACTGGTGCGCTTGAACCACTGACCTTGCAGTTCAAAAGAATCTTGCAGGCTAGTGCATTAACCCACTGCGCCATACCAGAACTCCCCTTACCCGCTTGGGCTCTTCTTTTTCCTATTGTATTTCTCACCTTCTACTTGATATGGCACTGCAGGATAATGCACTTGACTGCATGGTCAGTTTGAACACTAACTGGCGGTTCAAACCCACCAGTCACTCCTTGGAAACCCTATACAGGATCGCTATGGATTGGAACTGTCTCAATGGTGCTTAAAAACACCACCAAACTAAAGGCTCCCTGGTAACATAGTGGGTTATGAATTGCGTTGCTAACTACAAGGTCAGCTGTACAAATTTACTGGATGCTCCTCGGGAGAAAGAGGAGGCTTTCTGTTCCTGTACAGATTTACAGTCTCAGAACAACCCTACACAGGATTGCCAGGAATAGGAACTGACTGGGAAGCATACAATTACTACCACTACCATCAAACTACAGGAATCTCTGGATGGGGCAAACAGTTAAGCTCTTGGCTTCTAACTGAAAGGTTAGAAACTTGAGTTCACCTAGATGTGATTCAGAAGAAAGGCCTGGTGATCTGCTTTTGAAAGGCTCAGACATTGGAAAGCCTATGGAGCACAGTTCTGACACACATTGGGTCACCATGAGTCAAAAACAACCTCAACGACAACTGGTTACCAACTTATATGATTTAATTAGTATGTGTACTTTTTTTTTTTTTTTTTTAATGGTCTATCTTCCCTCACTTGGATGTAAGTTCTTCAAGGGTCTGAACTTTTATGTTTTGTTCACTGATGTATTCCAGCCACTTAGAACAGTGCACAGACATAGCAATACTAAATCACTGGACTAAGAAATTAATGAATATTCTTGCAAATACTGAAATTGTTTTAAGTCAACTTCCTTCTTTTAATTGGAGGTGGGGAGGCTGCATTCCTTCAAGCTTTGCACATTATAGGTTCTCAGTAAATTATTTATTAAGCGAGTGAGTTGCCTTTTTGCTTGACATAAATAGCTCAGGAACAAATGTGTCGAGGCAGAATGCCAGCGATACCTTGAAGAGCTCAGAGTGATGCTTCAGTAGAAACAGGACTAGTTGTTCTGTCTGTACTTTTAATAATGATTTGGTTTGCAAAACTGCTTTGGTCAAAGTTTTCAGGACCGCTGTGGTGTTGTCACACTGTAATTAGACACAGTATTGTTAGTTTGAACCACTTTTTAAAGGTAAAAGAAGCATATCATTGTAAAACTACTGCAAATGTACATTTTTTTCCTCACCTGTTTGTGTAGCCTGTAGGCATCAGGTTCTGCTGCAATAGCCATGAAAGTAAGTAGTCGGCGTAATTCCTCCCTAATGTTGGGTAACAACAATCTCAGGTACAGTTGGGTGGTTTCCAGAGCTTCTGCTCTTTTCCCATTTTCTGTTACATGGGTTACAAAGAAGATAAAACATGGGGTGGTCAAGTAGATAGGAAACTGCTTATCAGTCCACGAAAATTCTGTGATACTGTATTTGGTCTAGAAGCTGTTTTGTACAATTAAAATTCATTATTGTGAAATTTTATCTAATAGAATAAGATGTCAAACCCCTGTATAATTACATCCAGAATTATCAGATAGCACTGAGTTTGTTTTTTTTTTTAATGTTTTATTGTGAATTATGTGATAGTTTACATGGGAGAACATTAGTTTTACATTAATTGTATCGTATATTGTCTCTCATTGCCATGGTTACAATCCCCTCCATGCAATCGTTCCCCCCGTACCCCCCAGGTCTTCAGCACACAGTCGCTCTCCCTCTCTGGATCTAAAGCACTGAGTTTTAACACGGCATTATCTGGCCATTTTAGCACAGCTTAAACAAAAAAAAGGGGCAAAATATCATGACTCAGTTCTTATTCTGCTCAAAGATCAATACGTGAATACATTCAGAAATTATGTCTTTAATCCTTGTACTATATCAAGTGATGGAATCATGGTGTGCCACTGGACTGCTAACCACAAAGTCAGCAGTTCAAACCAACCAGCTGCTCCTTGGAAACCCTAGACTGCAAAGCCATTGGAACTACAAAGTCGGCAATTCAAGCTCACCAGCTGCTCCTCGGAAACCCTATACAGGGTCACTATGGGTCAAAACTGACTTGACGGCACTTGACAATAACAAATGAGTCAGAGCTGACGCAATGATGATTCACAATAACAAAATCAAGTTTTCCTTCTCAGACTCTCCCTGTAATTAACTGCCTTAGATCTAGCATCCTGGATTACATTAGTTAATTTGATAATACTAGACTGATGCCCATATAATTTAAGTGATACTAATATGCGTGTATATTGGTGGGGATAGTGGTTTTGTGTCGCTAAGTCGGTTTCAACTCAAAGTGAGCAAGTATAGGGTTTCTGAGGCTGTAAATCTTTACGGGATCAGAAAGCCTCATCTTTCTCCTGAGGAGCAGCTACTGGACTCGAACTGTTAACCTTTGTTTTGGTGTCAACACAACACGTAACCCACTATACCACCAGAGCTCCTTAGTGAAAGTTAGTGAAGTGGAAAAAACAAACAATTTCACCAAGTATCTTGACATCGTACAAGAAAATTATTAAAATGAAATGCTCACAAAATATGCAAAATTTTCTACTCTAATTCATATGCTTAAAAATGTTACTATGCATAAAATCAAAGTTTAAGCAGTCCTTGGATAGGAACACAGGATCCTTCAACATGGATCCTGATACACATCCAAAATACAGAGACAGACTAAATGCCCATCAATGAAGAATGGTTAAACAAACTTTGGTCCATACATGCAATGTTAAAGTATAACGATGAATCTGTGAAACACCTCACAACATGGATGAACCTGCAGGGCACTGTGCTGAGTGAAATTAGTCAATCACAAAAGGGCACTTGTTGTCTGAGGCCAGTGTAAAAAGTTAAGAAAAGGTTTTCTTGATTAAAGATGTTTACAGGGGTGGGTTTGGAAGAAGTTATTCACAGTCTAGAGGGTAGATACATGTTAATATGTGTGACAGCAAAGGCCACACACAACAAGAGGGAGGTTGGCAGAGGAAAGACGAAGGAAGCGGAAGACACTGGAATGCAAGAGTTAAAGTGAACTGAGGTAAATACTGTTAAATGATGGCATATGGAGGGGATTGTAATCATTGTAAAGAAGCAAAGTATATGATTTGTTGAATGTAAAACTGCTCTGTAAACTTTTACTCATTCACAATAAAATGTTAAAAGCAAGTTTAAGAATTCTTTCTTACCTAGAAGTTCAATAATTCCTGAATGAACATCAAAGTACTCATCAGTTAATAGGCTATCTCTCTCTTGATAATATTTTACTATGACATCAAAGAGTATGTTCTTCTGAATGTTCAATTTTTTCTCATCATTTGTGTTTTGCAGTATCTGCTGACTAATCATCACTATTAACTGGTCAGGGAAATACTCCAAGCATTCAACTGCTGCATTAAACCAGTGATCAATCCTGGAGGGAAAACAGAAAACAAATCAATGGCTGATATTTCCATTTAACAATATAAACCAGTTTGATAAAACATAAAATTAGCTTGTGTTTAATTGCATCTGAAGAAGACCTTACTTTTTGAGAAAACAAGTACAGTCCATTGTGCTGGCTGAAGTAGTTAGTGAGTGTGAAGGAATGGTTTCTTTCCCTACCAACCACCATCACATCTGTAAGTACCTTCAGTCAGGGACAGATCTTTATTATTTTTCATTTAAATATTAGATTTTGTTTGGAAGACTTCATATGTGCTGTTCTATTCCATTAGTGGTTCTCTTCACTTTTCCTGGTCCAATAATTAGATGCATATGATTCTACTATTATGTAAGAATAAGAGATCAAATATTTCCCTTGCCAAGATGCACTATTTACCCCATCACACATTGCTTCCCCGGGGTTTAAACCCTCATCACAACAGGTTATTTAGGATCTTTGCACCCCTTCTTTCATCCTTCTAGTAACTTCTTTTATTGTTGCCATGTGCCATCGAGTCGGTTCTGTCTCATAGGAACCCTGTAGAAGGCCTTTAATTTCCCCTTTTCCACATCTGCCCCCAAGTTTTCCAGCTGTTGTTATAAAGTGCTGTTAAGTCAATTTCAATTCATAAAGTCTCCAAGGAGAGGCTGGTGAGTTTGAACCGCCAACCTTGTGGTTCAAACTGACCTTGCAGTCCAGTTCTTATCCTACAGTGCCATACTAGGACTCCAGTTTTCCAGATATGCATTAGTATTTATTATAACGTACCTTACTAGTATGTCCCTTCTGTTTCAAGTTCTTATTTAGCATGTCTTACTCGGAAACCCTTACCGGGTTGCTAGGGGTGGTTGGAACCATCTCGACCGCACTTAACAACAACAACAACAACAACAACAACAGCAACAAGTGGAAACAGGAGCGGATGCACCATTAGAATACAAAATGTTTTGTTGCAGGAATAATTGTTTTTCATGAAACGGAGTCCACAATGCACCTTAAGAGAAAATGCACAAGTGGCCTACCTGGTAGGAGCAACAGTCCGTTTTTGTTTGGAATGTAAACAAAGAGAAATGGTTTCACATCAAGGAGAGTAGTACATTGGAAGGGAGGAAAATTTACAAGGAATTATCAAGTCACACACTGTCTTAATAATAGCTCGGAATCATTCCTTGTATCCTGATTCAACGTGACTAAAGCTTGATTTTGAAAGTAAACAATGTACAACAATTTGTTGTTGTTAGTACTGTGGATAACATATTTATTGTTTTATTTGCTTACCTGATTTTCTAATTTTTTAAA